AAAAAGTAGCATAGAAGTGAATCCCACCTTTTTTTAGTCTCTTTGTTGGAATTCCCACAAATAAATTACCAATCTATTGTTTTTTAGTTCATTAATGTTAGATTCCTTTCACGAAGCTTTTTTTTTTTTTTTTTTTTTATTATTATACTTTTTTTTTTAATTGTAAATATAAGTATACAAACTTCGTAATTAATAAATATTTAAATTTTTTATTGTTTTTTTTAATAAAAAATTTAGTAAATTCAAAATTTATTTTAAAATCTTGTATTTAATAGTTTTGTCAATTATTATTTTTTTTTTTAAAAAAAATCTAATGAACATTATATTATATTTTTTCTAGAAATTTAAACAATATAGGATCATCGTTATCACATATTTTTTTAATTAAAAAACATATTAAAATAAAATTAATAAAGAAAATATGTTATTATATTAAAAACCAAAAAAAGTGAATATAACTCATTGATATCTACTCCTTATCTTAAAATCGGATATTCATATTTCCCAATATTCAATTATTATTAAAAAAAATGATGAGAATTTGATAGAAAAAGAAGCCAATAACATCAAATTATTAATTATATATATATATATATATAATGAGTGGTAAAAACAAGTTTCCATATTTACCCATTTGTTACCTCCAAAATTAATTGGTAAATATGATCATTTTTTTCCCAAGTCAATATATCATAAATAAATATTAATATCCTTAAAAAAAAAATAGTTATTGTGAAGATGATAATTTTATAAATAATAATAATTCTAAAAAATTATATGTCTAATTTAATTTAATAGATTAAAGATTCGAATAGAATGTCTCTATTCTATCTTTGATTCCATTTATTTTTTTTCATATATATGTAAATATATTTTAAAATGGAAATGATTAAAGAATGTATAAGGTCAAGTTTGAATATTAAATGAATTGTTGACCAAGAGCATGTGATGTTTCCATTTTCCACATTTTTTCATGATTGTTGTTATTTATATAATATATGATTGGAATTTTAAATATTTTAATATAATCCTTTTTTTTTCTCACAACATAACCATCCATATCTCTCTCTTGAAATTAAGCCCTTATTTCATATGTTTGGTGTTTTATATTTCGAATAATAATTTTAAATTAAATGAAATAACTTTACACTGAGAAGAGGGAGCTCGCCAACTGGTTCATTAATAAGAAACGATTGTGGCTCGTACTTTACCCAACTCACATGGGTCGCCTTTGGGCTAATGACTAGCCTTGGGGTCGGCTCATTTTTTTGTTGACCCATGCGGTTTAGCTTCCACCTCTTTAGGTCGCTCCCACGTAGGTGAAACTTTCCCCGTTGAACGTACGTATGTAAGAATAAATTGATGTAAAATAAAAATAAATTATAAAATTTTTGGAGGCTTAGATTACGATGGAAGGGTATGTTCCCCAAGATAACCTCTCGATAATAACTTATTGGGAGATTGGTGAGATTCGAAAATTTCCCCCAAATAAAAAAGTAACTAAAAAGGACACCTTCTACGCGCGGTACACGTGGCGCGTGGGGGGAAGGAGCCAAATTCAGTGCTGTAGAACCCACCAACGTGGGTTCATTGAGTACTTGATTTAGGGAATCACAAGTCATTCCCACGCGCAGAAGATTCGCGCTTTTATGCACCTCCTACCTTAAGTGCTTCCCACGTATACGCTTGACATGCGGGTTACGGAACAGTGAAAACCAACCAATTAAGAGGCTGACACGTCTCCCATAAAATCAAGGCCATTCGTCTGTCACCGTCTGAGAAAGACCACGTTCTCCTCAGCGAGTCCCAACTTCCTCCTTAAAACTAAATTAGATTTGTTTAAGAATTAAAATAAAAATAATCCATTTAAAAAAAATTCTAAATTTATCTGAAACGTACTCTAACACAAAAATTAAAAATTCATAACCCATGATTAAATACCTTGAAAATTCATAATGAAATAGATAAATTATAATTTTTTTTTAATTTGCGTGAAAAAATAATTAATCTTATTTGGATTATTAATTTTTGTACTCCATTCATGCGGGGGCATTGTTGAAATTTAAGAAAAGTGTAGAAGGGCTAAATTGAAATTTAAATAAATAATAGGACCAAATAGAAATCTGAAGTGTAATTTAAACCTTTTTTAAAAAATTATTATTTTTTTATTTACAGTTCCAAGGGGGAAAGAGAGAGGACTTCTTCTTCTTCTTCTTCTTCTTCTTCTTCTTCTTCTTCTTCTTCGCTGTATTTCTATTCTGTCTGACTTCACACTCTTTCGCCTCTCCTTCTTCTCCATCACCATGAATCTTTCACTCCCCTGAACCACCCGACCGTTCCTTCATTTTTTCAACAATCATGCCATCTCTTTCCGCCGCCCCACCGCCGCTCACCGTCAGCCATCGCCACCACCACCACCGCCCAAGCCGTCTTTTCATCATTCTAGCCACATCCATAACCGCATCGCTTATCATTCTCCTCTTGACCATTTTCCTTCTCTACCGCAAACTCTCCCGCAACAGAACCGCTCCTTCAGAAACCCACCAAGAAAATCCCCAAAAACTCCCCCGCCGTTTCTCCTACTCCCTCCTCCGCCGCGCTACGGCGGCGTTTTCCCCTTCCAACCGCCTCGGCCACGGTGGTTTCGGATCCGTATACAAGGCCGTCCTCCCCTCCGGCCTCTCCGTCGCCGTCAAAATCATGGACTCCCCCGGTTCTCTTCAGGGGGAGCGCGAGTTTGACAATGAGCTCTCGATCGCCTCTGTGCTTAACAACCCTAACATTGTCTCCCTTCTCGGCTACTCTTCCGACCGGCGCCGCAGAAGACTGATTCTAGTTTACGAGCTTATGCCCAATCGGAGCCTTCAGGATGCCCTGTTCGATCGAAAGTGCCCCGAGCTTATGCCATGGCGTAAGAGGTTCGAAATTTCTCTTAGCGTTGCTTCTGCTTTGCAATATCTTCACCATATTTGTAACCCCCCTGTGATTCATGGCGATATTAAACCTAGTAATATTCTGCTAAACGCCGATTTCGAGGCTAAAATTGGGGATTTCGGCCTCGCAAGGCTGAAATCGGAGGAGGAAGATGGCGATGATGGTGGTAGAGGTAGAGAGATTATCGGAGATAATGGGTCTATTTTGGAGGAAAACGAGAGTGTTCTGATTTCTGAGTTTGAGGAAAATGTTGGTATGGATCGTTTGCCTGATAGCTGTGTGGTTACTGTTCTTGATTCACCGGAGATGGTGGCGACACCGGCTACCGATAAAGTGAGTTTATCAGAAGGGAATTTTGATAGGATTAGTGTTGAGGGTGGGATGGAGAGGAAGAAGGGTGGGTCTGGAAGGGATTGGTGGTGGAAACAGGAAACTAGTGCCATTGATGGTTTAGAATCTGGGAGAGTTAAGGATTATGTGATGGAATGGATTGGAAATGAGATCAGTAAAGACAGACCCAAGAATGAATGGGTTGAATCTAAAAGCTCCATTGCTTCTTCAAGTGGGAAAATGGAGCAGAAGAAGCAGAAGAGGAGATTGGAATGGTGGGCTTCTTTGGATGAAGGGCGAATGAGGAAGCGAGAGAAGAACAGGAAGAAGCCAAGGGAGTGGTGGAAGGAGGAGTTCTGCGAGGAACTTGTGAGGAAGAAGAAGAAGAAGAAGAACAACAACAACAACAACAAAGAGCTCAGCTCAAGTAGTTGCAGAGATTTATGGTGGCAGCGAGATGAAGATTCAATCAATGAGAGGAAGACGAAGAAGAAGAAGAGTAGCATTGATTGGTGGTTGGATGGATTGAGTGGCGATGTTAGAAATGGAAGAAGAAATAGCCTAGACGAAATACCAAAGAGTGGTGGAATCAGTAGCACTCCTAGTATGAGAGGAACAGTTTGTTATATCGCCCCCGAATACGGCGGGGGCGGGCAGATATCCGAAAAATGTGATGTCTATAGCTTTGGTGTTTTGCTACTGGTTCTAGTTTCAGGGCGGCGACCACTACAGGTTATGGCGTCTCCGATATCAGAATTTGAGAGAGCTAATCTGATCTCGTGGGCTCGACAACTCGCGCGCAATGGGAAACTGTTGGATCTGGTGGATCCATCCATTCATTCGTTGGATAAGGAACAGGCATCGGTTTGCATTACAATTGCATTACAATGTTTGCAGAGATCAGCATCGAAACGGCCTAGCATGAAGGAGATTGTGGCAGTTCTTTCAGGGGAGGCGGAGGCACCCCATTTACCGTTCGAGTTTTCTCCGTCGCCGCCGTCGAACTTCCTGTTCAAGTCTCAGAGGAAGGGCGGAGAGTAGGTGAGGTGAGGTGGGTTATACTTTTTAGCCATTTTCAATTGATGTAAACTTGGTGTGGAAATGGGTGTTGGTGCGTTTTTGGTTCCTCCCATGGCGTTGATCAGACATGGATTCATAAAGTGATGGTTTTGGCGGAAGATCCCCAGAAGTTGGTGAAATTTTAGAAAAAGGGGGAGTGAAGAGAATGGCATGAGCAAAAAGGGGAAAGCTTTTCCTTAATCCACAAACTTCATCACTGACTTTCACCTCATAAAGCTCTCTAAAACGCCAAACCTTTTACTTTTAAAGTTGACATTTTTTCCCTTTTCTTTGTTTCTGTGCATAACTAGCATCTGTTTCAGTATCACCTTTTTCCTGCCAAAAGTGAGGGGGAAGGTCCATTGCTCGGATTGGATTGGGTTGGGTTGCCTTTTTTTAACCTAGAAAAATACACCCACTATTTTAAAATAATTTGCATCTAATTCTTTATTTCAGGTTGGGTCTTCAAATCCATATTAGATTGTAATGAGCAGTTTCTGTAAAAAAAAAAAAAATATATATATATATATATATAAATAAATATAATGTTCGAACTTTACAACAAATTGAGCATAAACTTAATGTAAAAATGTTTGTGCGGGGTAGAAAGTCAAATTCTCACCTCCATATTTTATGGGATAATAAATAAATAAATAAATAAATAATCCTAATTTTCCTTCTTAAAACCTTTAATTTACAATTACCACTAGGGATTAAATATACTTTTGATTGTAATTTTAAAGAAGGTTAAATTGAGTTATTTTTCGTTTTGTTTTGGGATTTTAAAATAAATCAAATAATAAATTCCTTAACGAGACTCATGACCGCAGCAGCCCGTCGATGGTCAATGAGGTCAACGTTATGAAATCCCATGTCATCAAACCATGCCAGCACCTGGGCTCCACATCCGGTCAACATCTTCACAAAATCCTGCTGTCGGTCAACCATTGGATCTCCGCCGAACCCGATGACCAGGCACCGTCCCAGCTGTCCGATCAAGTCCTTGTGAGGGCCCCCCACCATTGGATTGCAGTAGCGATGGTCCTGATCCATCCCCTTGGGCAGCGCGAGTTCCCACATGAGATCCAGCACCGGCAGCGGCAACAATTGGTCGGTCGCAAATCGGAGCTCGGAATTAGTCCTCTGAACTCCTCCGAACATGGGCTGGTTCATGACGATTCCGGCGACCTTCAGAGGGTCGAGATGAGAGGCCGAGGCCGCAGCCTTGAGTCCAGCGAAGAAGGCAATGTTGCCGCCGCAGCCGACGCCGTAAAGGTAACAGCGGGAGAAGTCGCCAAAATCCTTGAGCCATGGGTGGCCGTGGGGATCCGTCATTTGGGTTTTGACCCAGAGGAGAGCGTCGGCGGCGTCGTCGTACTGAGCCGGGAGGCGGCTCTCGGGGGCGAGGCGGTAGTTGACAGAGATGGCAATAGCGGGGATTTGGGCGACAAGGTCGGCGCAGTTGCGGTGAGTAATGAGGTCGGAAGCGGTGTGGAGGATCCAGCCGCCGTGGTGAAGGTAAATGAGGATGGGGAGACGGGCGACGACGCCGTCGTTGGCGGGGATGTTGGTGGGGCGGAAGAGGCGGAGGGAGGTGGAGGAGGAGGGGTTGAGGGGGAGGTCTTTGAAGGAAACGGGGTCGGCAGGGGCAGGGGAGGAGAAGGCGGGGAGGTGGAGGAGGCGGGAGAGGGAGCCGTCGGGGTTGAGGGAGACGCTGAGATGGTGGTAGGGGTTGAATTTGGACATGGTATGAGAGCGGCGCATGGTGGTGGGAATGGGGAAGATGGGGGAGGAGGCTTCAGAGAGATACATTGTAAGAGGATTTGGATGTGAATGTGAACGTGAATGTGAATGTGAATGTGAATGGAAGGAGGAAATGAACGTGAATGGAAGGAGGAAATGAACGTGAATGAAAGGAAGGAGGACGGAGGAAGTAGTAGAAGAAGAAGATGATGATGATGAAAAATTAGGGTGGAAGGAGGAGAGGAAGAGACGGGATTGTGAGGAAGTTTTGGCCATCCAAATTCCAAATTGTAATTTAGATTTATTTATTTATTTATTTATTTTCTTCTTTATACCATTCATTTTCAAGAACAACATCAATAATGTTTTTGCAGTTGGAGCATCTCAATCACGAGGAAGCACCAACCAGCCCTTATGGTTCAAATGCATGCAGGACGACTACATTAAGTCATAGAGAGTGATCAATCCAAACTACACACAATTTCTTCCTTCTGCTCCTTATGGAGACGCGTACAAAGACGAAAACCAGCTTATTTTGGTCACCAACAATTTTTAGTACAAGGCGATAACCCATTACAAGACTCACGTTAACTGAGAAAATATAACACAGTGCTCAAAAACTAGTCTCTGCAATTACCACATCCAAAAGCCCCCTTTTGAACTGCAAAATCAACAACGCACACATTTTCTGTACTCAAATGTTCAGATGATAGATTTAGTACTCTTTGTTTCCAAAATTCTTGCACCAGAGCTGTGAGGGAATTGGCCGAACAGGATTGTGCGGCCGTTGCTGCATGGGAAAAGAAATGACGAGGTTACGAGGTTACTTGCTGATGGTACTTGAGACAAATTCAAATCAGAAATGTCAGAAAAACTTGTTAGGACGAGTGTCGAATTTACAGCATCTGGTTCCAATGTGAATGAATTAAAAGGTCTATTTAATCTAGTACACATGCTCAATCAGGAATATATATGAAGGGAGGTGGGGCTTCCTAAAAAAAAAAAAAAAAAATCAAAATTTCAAAATTCGTTCAAACACTATATGGAAGGCTAAGCAAGTCAGATATAAAATGCAGCAGTTGCCTAAATAAGGACATGACAAAACCTACAATTCATTCCAATCTTGAGCATCAGCTTTAATAAAAGATGACATGTTGCCAAGTACTAGCTTCACTCTTTTAAGGATTTATATGTTCTTTATTCTCAATGAACACCAACATGGAATATTCTGTGTTGCCAAGATGAAACTTTCAACAACATATTTTTACACCATTCCTTTTCAGTATCAAGAAAAGATATGAACCAATAATTTTATCCTTTGTAAAAAAAATATTTTTTAAAAATAAATAACTTTGAGTTCGTTTATCAATCAATAAAGCAACTTAATCCAAACAAGTGCAACATATTTGAACCAGATCCATAGAAACAAATTTATAACTCAACCCAACTAATTTAGAGGTTAAATGGATGACAATAAACATAACATCCAAGGTATGAAGCACAAACACTCAGTGTTACGTGGAGTGTCTGTGTCAGTCATGTGCTAGATATCCCAGTTGTAAATTTTCAACCGTGCAGCGTTATAATCTTGATATGTTCATGACAAGCCTTACCGGGAACTCAAGCTCTATATTCATTTTTCGCCCCTCTTTGTGGCTTCGTTGGATCTTAGGCAAGGTTTGTATTTGCCAACCGAACACAACTTGTGTGGAATCCAAGCTCGTTCGGCTACACACACCGCCTGTGGGTACATGTTCAATCATCTGCGACTTAACCGACTTGCCTATACACTAGACCTAGTCATCTGGCATGACCTTGCTTCTACTTGGGGTCAAGGTCTCTTAATGCAACATTGCATCTCAACTTGTCATCTTAGTTCCCAATTAACACAGCCTTCATGTCATGATGTCATCGCATCACAGCTTGCTTGGTCATGTCCATCGAGAATAGGCCTATATGTTGTTCATAACATCGAGTCATCCCAGACATCCATCCATTTGGGTTTTATTGAGGCATTGGACCCTCCCATGTCCATGCCATATCATTTACGGACTTCATTATGGGTAGCGGGTGCATATATCAACCTTCGACACATGGGCTGGCGTAACGTCGGCATGCCTATGTCGTCCGATATTGTCCTTGAAAGACCTATTTCAAAGGAAGTCACCCGAGACACTTGTCTCGCAAAGCTCGCCCTCACTATGACGAATACATGTGCCATAAGATAGCTCACTTAGGCCACAAGGCCAAGTGGTGGTGGAGAGCTGACACCATGTCTCCCCCTATAGTACATTTTGAGGCAGTTCAAATCTTTATAGAGTAGACGTCATTTGGGTGAGCGGTCATACGGTCTTGTGGAGCGTCTATCAAATATCCAATTGACACCAAATTTGGTGAGCTTTCATCTTTTATATAGACAAACTTAACTCTAGAGCCGCATGCTAAAACTCATATTGAAATCCCAACTAGGCCAAGGGCCCTATCCAGCTCTCTCCGAGATTGTTTACATCTCAACTTGGCTTTAATGCACACTCTTGATGTGTTGGATGATGCACCGTCTTCCTCAATCGCATCATGACACTTGTCTGTCTTGGCCCTCACATGACCAGATGGGCGCCACTCAAGGGTCGCCACCATGTTTGTCCACGTGTGAGGGGTCACAACCTACTATCTTCATAGTGAGGTTGTGACATTAGACACGCATATGTCTGACATGCCAAAGTACATGCCGAATATTCTGTTTTTTTTCTTTTTTAAATTCAGACGTGCGGGGAGATGCGTAGTATGTGAGCATCGTAACATCCTTTTGCTCGAGTCTTTTTGCTCTATCGAACCTTAGACAAGGTTCTTTTTACTCCAAATCAAGCTTCATTTACTTTGCTCCAGCACTTGTTTTGAACAATCGTTAGAACACATCACACACATGAGCATCCTCTCATTCATCGATGACATCATCTCGACCTGTTTGCAACTTGGCTTTCTCTCGCCAACATACACTGCTTTCTCGTACATTTCAATGCTTTCACTTCTCTTAACAAACTTGCTTTGCCTCGATCTTGCCTCTAATCTAGGTCAAAGTTCTTTCGAAGCATCATCACATCTTTTCTTACATCTTAGTTCTCGGCCACTTGGTCGTCTACTTCTACACCAAGTCAAGACTTTGTCAGGATGAGCCTCAAGGTCCTTTCGAAGCATCATCACATCTTTTCTTACATCTTAGTTCTCGGCCACTTGGTCGTCCACTTCTACACCAAGTCAAGACTTTGTCAGGATGAGCTTTGACCTTTCACGGAGTCAAAACTAACTATAAAGTTCACTTGAAGCTTCCTACCACTCAATAGACCAAATAAGTCTCACTACTTACCAGGTCAACACTAGCTTCTAAAAGCTCACTGGGTGCTCACCCATACTTTAAGACGCCATCCCAAATCTTAAAATGGAATGAAGTTTCATTATGCATTCGGGCACGTTTACGAGAATTGTCTCTCAGGTCCTTCGTACTTACCAAATCTTACCAGACATCCATCCATTATCAAAGCATGATGACACTTGCGACCATGTCATATCAATCGAGCATAGCATACAAAAAACCCATCATATACCACAACCTCGACCCTTGGGATAGGGTGCACTTTTGACACAACCATGCCACCCAACACAGTCACTAAGTTGCTCGTTCTCAAAGGAAGTCACCCAAGGCACTTGTCGCATAAGACTCGCCTATGCCATGACACACGCATATGCCGCGAGGTAGCTCACTTGGGCATCCAAGCCTAGGGGTGGTGGAGAGACAACACACTCATAAATTATAAGGCATTTTTTATCTATCACCCATGGACGTCAAAATGGAAAAGGATCACTTGTCATTGTGGAGTGCCCATTTTAACTCCAATGAACAAAAAATTTGACAGGCTTGCATATCCCATTTATACACAATTAACTCCACAGCCACTCGTCCAACCTCACAATAGAACCTTGACTTTTAGGGAACCCTTCTAGTCCCCTATAAGCTTGTCTTTGACACTTTTATTGCCACGGTTGTTTCTAACTCACTTAGAAAAGAAGCTAGCTTATACAGACTTATTTTTTCTTTTTTATTCCATTTTCATTTTTTGTGAGCTTTTATCCCCTAAAAGTTTTTTTTTTTAGAAAAAAAAAAAAACTAGAATTGCAAATTAGGTTGGTCAGTGTGGTAGGAGCTCAAAAGTGGGTGGCTAAAGGAGCTACTTCCAAGCTTCCAACTATTAGTGTAGTGACTTTCAGGGAAGGAAATGAATGATACTTGAGATCAGCTTTAGAGGCAATATCCTTATCTAAATAGAATATCCAAGTATTGGGTTCAATGCAAAAGGTCAACAGAGTATGTAGCTAACTTGGTTCCAAAGCATCCAGCCTCTTGAAAAAATTGGTGGATCAATTGGTGCAACCAAGAAAGTTATTTCAATGTTGGCAATTTCATGAGATTATGGAAGGGTAGATTGCTGATAGAATACCCTTAGGGAATAGAGATGAAGGCATGGACTATTTTTGAACAAAAAATCATTTCTCGTTTGATATAATGAAAATGCTTAAAAGTTCAAGGATATAAATTCCCAAAGAGAGTGAAAGAGAAATTAAAAACAGAAAAAACTACCATGTAGAGAACAACTATGAACACGAACATTTTATAAACCTAACAAAATACATCACCATAAAAAATGGCTTCGTTTTTTACTTTAGCTATCATTTTGAGAAAATTAAGAAAATTGAGGAGGGCATTCTAAATCTGCTTTCAAATCTACCGCTATGGCTTTTACTTTGTACTTCTCAGAAAGGGCGGAGTAAGTATCATTGAGCTCTTGTTTGATTGGAGAAGAATCTCTAACTTCTTTCTGAAAAAATATTCTACTTTGCATAGAACCATTTCAAGATGAATCCAAACTGAAAGTTTATCTAGAATTTGACTCCATAAAAGAAGCTTCAATAGGCAAAGACACAAAGGAATGCACCACAATACAATTTGAGGAGAAAGTACGCAGCCCCTTAAACCTCCATGAAATTAGTGCAAAAATAGTAACTCTTGAACGAAGACAACCAAAAGTCTTCTTGGAAAAGAAAACACCTTAAAAACTTCGTAAGTTTATGTTTCCCTATTCTATAAAAGAAGGAACTTCTAGTAACTGAAGATCACGTCTCGTGGACAATATTTTAGAGACCATTTACATCGAAGATCATATTTATCCCAAAACCAATGATCTTCTTTGACTCCACCACAATCATCCAATATCATATGATGCAAAATACTGATTAGACCCATCCAGACCAAAAGCATGCTGAACTCTTAAGCATTCAATAGTCCGTTTAACAAAAGGTAAGACTAGAAATATATGTTTCTCTAGCAAAATTGGTTCCTTTCGACATAAGAGAACAAGATTCGACCCCAAATAAACCATGCTCTATATTTGTAGTTAGACCCTTCCCTTTTTAGTTAAGGTCGAATTGATGTGAATTCAAGCTCAATTTTCCCCACACCAACAAGTCTGTCTAGAGGGGGAAGGGGAAATAGAATGAATCCACATTTCATCCCGCCAAAAACGATAATTAAAAGTACATAAAGATCCATAAGTGGAATAGCTTTCATCGCTGAAGAAAACAAAAAAGAAAAAACAAGGAATAGATAGACAAAAGTGGGGATATAAGAACCTCAAGCTCTGCAGATTTCATAGCAACAGGAATGCAGATGAGAACGATGCCAGCCATGGCAATGGCGGTATTGCGTTTCCAATGCTTGGGCCGGCAATAAGGTCCTCCGCTCATGCTCCAAACCTTAGCCCTAAAGTCACCATGGGCTTCTCCATGTTCACCACCTCCCATGGTTTCACTGCTCTCTGAAACTGGAGATCAGAATGGCGATCAAAACCAAAATCATAGCAAACGAATTAGCAATGAACTAAGATCCATATACGCACGAAAACAAATTAGAAATCAGCTCGGAGAAATGGATCGGGAAGAGATGGATTTCGTCGATCTCAGTACCTGAAAATTGGGGGATTTTGATCGCTAGCGAACGAGGAAGATGTGGTGTAATGTATACTGAAGGCCGTGTTTTCGGAAACTCTATCGGCAAAAACGTGGGTGAGCGAGGAGATTTTGGTCCATTTTGCAGTTGAACCGGACGGCCTAATAAATATACATATACATTTGTGAACAAATCAATTTAACCTCAATTTCTTCAAAAATAAAATAAAATAACTTATTTATTAATGACTAAATTAAAAGTTCAAAATAAAATGTTTATGGATGTATTAGTTACTTTGCTTCGAATACTACTTGGTTCATCTACTTTCATCTTTGAATCATTTTAGATGAACCATTTTAGTCCTTCTAGTTTCAAAAAATGCTATTTTGATTCTTTTACTTTTAAGATTGTCATTTTGGTCCGATCCAATCATGCTCAATCAACCATGGTCAATGTCTTTCGTCTCGGGTGCTGCTAAGTGTCAATCTGAACGAAGCAGGAGATATGGCAAGTTTCTGAATCAGCTTAATAAAACTCCTTTGATCAATGATTTTTTATTAATAATCTCTATATTCATGAGTAGTTAGCATATTACTTGTTTATCGTTGAGCTGTAATTAGTTAAAAAGAAATGAAAGCTCCTTCTTTCACCAAAAAAGAAAAGCTTCAGTAAGCTTTTTTTTCTATTTAAAGACTCATCTGATGTTAAGCAAAACTCGAATTGAATAGTATACATACATACATACATACATCCAAGAAGCCTACTTTCATCCAACAAAGTGTACATTCTCATACACTCTCAGAAATTACGCCTCCCATGATGAAGCTTTGTATTAACATTAGTACGAAGAAGACGAGCCTCGTTGCTGCTTCCTTCGCCCTCTCAGCGTGTTCACGCCGCCCTTTGATTCTCCATGTTACCAGCAGGTGGTTTTGATGACAGTGGTGATGGATGATCTTCCGGGGTTGGTTTGGTCAAAGATCAACAATATCCAGGAGCCCATATTCATGTTAATTTAACTTCGTGCATGTTCAGGTATGAGGTGATGACGCAATTCAGTCGATGCACCAGCAAGTTCTGCAGCCGATTTCGGTTCAGTACCCACAAGAATAGTTGTGTTGAAGCAATGAAAAATGATGATGAATTTGGTTTTACCTTGAGATGTGAAATTGAACAATGGCGGTAGTGCTTGGCCGTTAGGTAAACATGCATTTGGATCTCTCAAATCGTCAAAGAAGGGGTGTGCACAAGCCTCCAACTGCGATCAAAAAGGCCACTTCATTGTCCTAACCCATCATGTAAGGGACTAACAATATTTGCAATTTCAAAGAAACAAAGTCATTGTCAAATAAGTAATGGTTCTTACCGCGGTGCAACGTAGGTTGGGCGAATACTGGAGCAACCTTGACACGAGATCTATGGCGTCTGCAGGCATTCTCATGTGAAATATCTGAATATTACAACTTCAATGAGAATTCCACCCTCGTGACAAAAAATAAAAGATCCATAACTATATAATTTTGCACGAAAATGCAAGAGACCTTATGCCACGGGTGTGCTTTAATCTGAGGAAATTTGAATTCGGTGTAATTTGGGTTCATGCACTTGATTTCCTCTCTGGTTGGTGTTCCCAATATCTAATTCACGTGGTAGGGAAAAAAAAGTAAAGATCAGATAAGTGACTTTGTTTCGATGTTGAAATAAGTCAACAAAGGTCGATCATACCTTGATGATCTCTACCAATTGATCAACACCACTTTCCCCAGGAAAAAGAGGCTGCAAACAATTTCCATGTCCATCAAACATCAGAAAGACCATGAAAATAGATTGTTGATGTACATATAATGAAACGATTATGAAATCATAACACAGTTGTAATCTGAACAGACAATGCCCTACAACTTCAACACAGACACTAAAGTGAAGACCTACCTGTCCTAAAAGAAGCTCAGCCATTACACAACCAACCGACCACATATCTATGGCATTGGTGTACTCCGTTGCCCCGAATATGAGTTCGGGGGCCCTATAATACCGTGAACAAATATAAGATATGTTAGGTTCTCCTGGCATCTGAAATTGAAAATTAAATTGCATCAGATCATAAATTAATAAATTTCCTCAGATAAGAATCAAATCCAAATTCAGGTATATTCATACCAACATCTTTGCGCTCCCAAAATCACATATCTTTAGTTGATGAGTGTGAGGATTAACCTGCAGAATGAGCAGAATAAAATGAGCTGCAAGTAAAAGATAACTACCCATCACTTCTACCTCAAACTAACTTTCAATTTAAGTAACCTCTTTACGGAAGAACTCAACATCATAATAAGCATAATTACTTCAAGTTCCTTATCATTTTAATATGTTTATACAAAGTGAGATTTGATAACTATTAACATGGAAACATTGTTGAGGATTAAGGTTTTGGCCAGCCTTTGACAACTTGGCTGTAGCATATGCAGCATACGTGTGCAGGGGTAGGTAGTGTCATCCTCAATTAGATCCCTTGTATAATGTGTTTCACAATACCACTTACTTGAACATTTTTCAAAAAGGCGGTGGATATAGTTTTTACAAACTAAGAATTTTCAAGTCTGGATCACATCTTTGGAGCTCTTAGTTCGCCTTGGCTTGTAGAAGATATTGATGAATTATGATGGAGGTTCTATCTCATTTGCCTTTTTATGTATCTTCGAGAGAGTGACAATTTTAGCTTGGAGAGTCCCTTGCTAGTTTTCAATGCCTTGGGTGGATGAAAATTTTGAAGGAGTTCTATAATATTTTCCATTAGGCCCTATTCTTTCAGATTTAAGCCATTTCTATATAGTTATTTCGGTTTCAGTTTAGCTCCTTTCGTTAGGCTATCTTCAGTTTTCTCTAGGTTTCTCTTATGTATTATTTCATTCTTCTTCTTCTTCTTCTTCTTTTCTCAATGCAAGCATGGTTTTTCAATGAGGAAAACAAAAAAAAAAAACAAAAAACAAAAAAAAAAACAAAAAAAACAAAACAAAAACAAACAATCAAGCGATGAAGAAAACTAAGCAAAAGGAATTGTTGGATGGTGGAAAAAGGGAAAATGTCCTACCAGTAGATTCTGAGGCTTAATATCACGGTGACATACTCCTACGACCTGATGCAAGTAATTTAGAGCCCGGCAAATCTGGAGAAGAGAGAACAGAAGTTACTGCATTTGTACGGAGGGTTGCAACAGTCAAATGTGGAAAGTTAAATACTACTCATGCCATCAAATCAACAGCTAACTGAGGGTTTACCTGATATGTATAAAGCTGCACATAAATAATAGGCATACTCCGGTGTGTCCTGATATAATGCTTAGAAACTTTGTAGACAGTTTCGGATATATACTCCAGGACAAGGTTGAGGTATAGCTCATCTTTATCAGTAGTGGAAAAGAAACAATGTTTTAGTTGCACGATGTTAGGATGGTTGAGTATGCGCATAGTCTGGAGTTCCCTGTTCTTATATCTCTTATCCTGCAGCACCTTTTTTATTGCTACGGCTTCATTTGTTTCCAAACACTTAGCCTATAACAATGTACATGTAAATTTCAAAAGTTGCACCAACCTCCGGATCCAAAAAGAACCAGAACAGGCATGGCATAATCAAGTACCTGAAAGACAACACCAAAAGAACCAGTACCGACCACGCGCTCTGCCATATAGGAGATTGTCTGCAACAAAGTTACAATAGCAAAGAAAATTTTCAAACAACTCTAACCAATTACAAGAAATCATAGACAATAGGATTTGATTGAAAACGTTACAATGAAGTATGTCATATCTTTCATTGTAACATAACAAGCATTTAAAATGTCACCTGTTTGGGGATTCCATTTCGACCACCAACTGTAGTTGCAATTATCTGACCGGCTTCTGTCCCATTGCCATTCACGACATCAGGTTCAAAGTCCTAAAACGGAGGTATAGCAAACAGAATCTCAATACTTTCACATAAACACTTTCCGCATGGTCTAGATATCAAAGTATACAAGATAGTCGCATTTCGACTGCTATAAGTTCAATATGTGAAGGTGAATCACAATGTACAGAGTGAAAAAGGTATGACAAATATGGAAAATACAGAGAATTTTTTAAAACCAACAACAAAACAAGGAGCTATATTTGAACTTGGAAGTTATCTAAGAATAACCTTTTCATCATGGTTGGATTTCTCATCTCTAATTCTCATTTCACGCATTTCCCTTGGAAGGTGATCAAAACCAGATTTCTCTGCTCCAGCTGTTGATGAAATGTTTGAAGTGCTCGCAGCATTATCCAAAGAAGTGCAAGCCAAATCCGGGTCTAAACCAGAGGCAACTGTTTCGACATCATCGGAAACCCCATCAACCTTCTGTTCAGTTTCTTGATCAACTTTTGCTCGCTTTATGCCAAAATCTCCACCCTTAAAAAAACACATTGATAAGGAGATATTCTAAAAAAAATGATGAAATCGAAGACATCTAACACCATAGCACTGAAAGTATCTCAATTATGGTAAGAGAGAATGCATGATGTTCCACCACGTCATAGAATTTGAATATTAGTTTAGTTGTTCCCCGACGTGACCGAAAGCGAAACCATTAAGAATTTGAACAAGCCGAATCGCTTTCAAAGCGGAAAAAACGACAAAATCAATTAGTTCAAAATTAGAAAGCTTAAAAGAAGTAAAAAACAAAAATGAAAGGTAAGTAATTATGAGGTGATCTTCCAGATTCCAGTGGATCGGGCATTCCAAATTCGAACTCAGTTTCCCAAAACGCAAAAGAATAGATAATTGAACATGAAAAATTATACTCACCGGGTCAGAAGAAATGGAAGTCCGACCAGAAGTAATGCTCTTAAGACGACGCATCATATTCATGGCGATTATTGATTGGGTCGCGTCCGCTCACCTCCCAACAGAGAGATGAAACCCTAATTCGCCCGGAAAACACCCCCTCGACGCAAAAAGTCCCAAGGAAACACAGAATCATCCGCCCGAAACGAAGCCCCTGAACGAAGATTTTTCTGCAATGGGCAGAGAAGAAAGAGGGAATTGAGGCAGCAGAAGAGAGAGAAACCCAGATCTCTCTCTCCTCCAGCTGCTGAAGAGAGAGCTGAAGAGAAGAAGGGCAGAGAAAAAGGGAAGGGAAGGGAAGAAGGGAAATTAGGTTTAAAAGCTTAGAGAAGGCATTGTTGGAAGATTTAGATTTGGTGAAGGACGGATAAAAACCAATCATTGGATCCCGCTTCTCAACGTACGTCGGTCAAACCAGGATCCTCTGCCTCTCCTCTCCTTTTCCCAATCTGCCCCTCCTTCCTTCTCCTTTTTACCAAATATGCCTTCTCCATCTCCGCTATATATTTCAATATTGCACTTTATAATAATATCTAAACTAAAACAACACACATTCAAATTTCTTTAACTTAAATAGAGCTAAGGATAATTCATATATATTATGCTACGACATTAATATGATATTTTAGAGGCTAAGTTCGTAATTTAAGAGACAAAATGTCCAAATGTTTTCAAATGGACCTAAATGTGTGGGCTGCCTAAATAAATGGGCTACAAACAATCTATATATGATTGCTCCTTAAATGGGCTTGTTAGTAAAGGTCCTCTTTTTTCATATTATATCGTTAAAATTGGGTATACCTAATAATAAACCATATTTCTTTTCTTTTTCTTTTTCTATTGTAATTTTTCAAAAAACAATTTTTTTTTTCTTTTTTGAAAAGATAATTACCATTGAGACCCATTTGTTAGGAATCACGACTCTCCACAATGGTATGATATTGTCCACTTTGAGCATAAGCTCTCATGGCTTTGCTTTGGGCTTCCCCAAAAGGCCTCATACTAATGGAGATAGTATTCCTCACTTATAAACCCATGATCTTCCACTAAATTAACCAATGTGGGACACTCCCAATCCCAATAATCCTCAACACCATTAAAGGGAAAATCATAATTAATAGAAAAGTGTGTGTTTGTTTAGATAGAGCCTAAAAAATGAGACAAGATTGTAGAAAAATGAGAACAATTATTAAAGTGGCTTCTCTCTTATTTGATACATTATAAGATATTTGAAGGGCTACCAGATTAACACATAAACATTTGTGAGATGTCACACTCAAAATCAAAGAGAAAAAAAAAAAAAAAATGTAAAAGAGAAGATTGATATTGACATCCTAACTCCCTTGAAAATGAAGAAGGTTGAGTGATGGAAAATAATTGTAAGTATAGAGGCTTCTTCTAAAAGATGACCGAACCAAACAATTATCAACAAACTAGTACTAACTCCTCAACTCCTCCAACAAAATCTACTTAACCGTGGTATCAATTTTCCCTGTCTATAGTCCATCGTCCATGTGGCCTAAGCGAGCTATCTTATAGCATATATGTGTCACTGCATGGGCAAGTATTACAACACGAATGTCTCGGGCTACTTTCTTTGAAATAAGTTTTTCAAGTACAGTATTAGACCATGTGTTCCTATTGCCTTGATAGAACCCAAATGGTTGAAATGTTCGAGAGACCTCGATGATAGGAATGACATGTGGCTTAGTTCTCGGTAGACATGATCAAGTAAGCTACGATGACTTATGACATCCCGAGAGCTTGGATGACATCAAGATACATGGGTCGTGTTAATTTGGAACCAAGATGACAAGTTGAGATCCAACAACAATTATGAGAGACCTTGGCGTAGAATAGAGGTAAGGTTGAATCGAGGTAAGGTTGAATCGAGTGACTTGGCTCTGAGTATAGACAAATTAGATAGAGTCACAGACGATTGAACATGCACGCAAAGGTGACGTATGTGGCCGAACAACCTTAAATCATACCGAGTTGTGTTCGGTTGGTAAAGGTAAACCTCGCGTATCAAGATCATAATATTAAAACCTTAATTTATTTAAATAATGAGAGGGACTGAACTTTTTTGTTTTCAACATTAAGAATCAAACTACAAGCTTGTTAAGAATCTAAAGAGAGAGAGAGAGAGAGAGAGAGAGAGAGAAAACAACGTTATCAAGAAGATTCTCTCTGCATAATTTTTTAATAATCAATAAGATCAGTCAATTCCTTTTAAAATACAAATACATTTAAAAGAAATTAAGGAAAATTGATTAAAGAACAAGAGGATCATAAATATAAAAAGCTGTCGGCATAGTCAACGAAGGAACCAAAAAAAAAAAAAAAAAAAAGAGGTTGAAAAGAATATTAAAAGGCCATAATACCGGGAGGCGTCGGCGGAGGGGAGGTCCGGTGGGAGCAGGTTCAAAAAGAGGGAGAGGGTATATGATTGAGGATGGCGGTGGAACCCAGCGCCTGTCACCGCCATGGGTGGGTGGTGGCGGTCGGCGGTGGGCCAACCCGACGACGCTCTTCATTTCTGATTTAACCTTTCTCCCCCACTTTTCACCGTCTTCTATTTTAAAATTTGGTCTCACCGGTGGTGAAACAGGATAAAAAAACTTTTTTTTTTATTTATTATTTTTTTTTTTACAGTATACAAACCAAACACTCCCATAATTCCTGCCCATATCCAACCCTACGGTTCCGGAATCCCAGAGATTAGACCCCCGACCCCACCAGTCTCCATCTAAATACCCTACTCAAAAAAAATAATAATAATAAAACGTCTCTCTCAAAAACGCCGTTCATCATTATCCCCGACTGTCACCTAATGTTCACCACGTGTATACCCCTAATTGGCCAGTTGAAACAAGCCGAAAAACTTGACATTAAATGTGACACTTTTCTCCCAACAGCTTCTGTCACCTATTTATTACGTTGTCAGATGGATGTGACTTCGTAACTCCACCTGTATCGGCGGCGCGTGACTCTACTCACCCCAAAACAATATTAAATCCTTCCCTAAATATTGCTCAAATCAGTGAAATCTCGTCAACTAATTAATTTCAAACAAACACAGATCAGGAAAATTACAAATTCCATTAAATCAAAGGAGGGAAAAAAAATTCAAATACATAATTAACAAAAACACCCTTTTTTTTTCTCTCTTCTTCACAAGAAAACTAGAGGGTAAACTTGAGTCAATACCCGAACCACAACCACGACCACCACCACCCTACTATATATATATAAATTAGAAAGAAACCCTTTTTTCCTCTTTCCCGAGCCACCGACTGGGTGTCTTAACACGGGCGGTTCGTTCTTGACTCAATACCCCCACCTCGCCCACCTTAAAAGACTTCACACTAACTCACATTTTTTTTTTCCTTCTCACATACTGTTCACAACCCTAGTATAGCAGTAATAATAATAATAATAACAAACAAATTACTCAGGGAGGGGTAAATTAAGTAAAATAAGTTTTTTTTTTTTTTTGGGTAAAAAAAATATATAATTCCATCAGCACGTGGAGAGTCACGCGCGGATCGGGCATCAGGTTTCGCATTGAAGAGCGGCCTTGATCTTCTGGACGGTGCAAGAGATGAGATTGTTGACTGTTTCAACCGATTCCACGGTGAGCTTCGCTGTAGGGAGGCTATTCACCAGGATTTGAAATGCCACGGTGAGAAGGGACCCACCGCCTGTCCCTCTCTCGCCCTGCCGCCCTCCCTCCCCGCCACTCGGACTCCTCCCACCTGTCACCGCGCCGTCAGCCACAATCGCAAACCCTGAAGGCAAAAGCGCCACGTACGCAGAATCGCCGCCATTCATCACTACGTGCATTGCCGGAATGTCGACCGGCGCGTAGACCACAAGGGAGCCGGCCGCGTCTATGCATGTCTCTTGTAGAATCAACATACTGCTCTGGTTCGCATTCATAGCCTGCGAGTACGAAAAAGAAAGACCCCTCAAACTTTGCATTAATTTACAACAAAAAGTCAAAACCCAATGGGAAAAAAGGTAACTTTTTCTTTTTGGCATTAAGAAGAAAGTTGAAAAGGTGGGGGAATGGATCAGAAGAAAGAAAAGAGAAGTGGGTCACAGAATTCAGAGGAGACGTTGACAAGTTTTTTGTTTTTGCTTTTATGTTGACTTTTTTTCTCTTCTTTCTTCCCATCAGAAGCTGCAAAAGCAAACAAATGGGGTTCTGTAACTTTGCCTGCCGCCCCCACACCCCCACACCCCCAC